TAGTAGCGAGCCTGGTCATAGTCCTGCAGATGGAAAAAGGCTACTCCAGCCCAATACAAGGCCTTGTCATTATCAGGCTGTCGTTCCAGGACTTTCTGACTGTATTCTCTCACTTGTTCATAGTTTACTGGCTCCATCTGAAGGAGACAGGCAGTTAGATTGTTGCAGCAGTCTGTCTGGGTGGTGTGCAGTATGTTTTCTTGTTCAGGTGTATGAGGTGGGCCCTCGGGCCCTAGCTTAGGTATCGGGGAAGGCAGACTTGGATCCAGACCCCGCAGCTGAAGCAGAGCTCGATGGTACCTACTCATAGCATCTCGGTACTTCCCTTCCCAGTAGCGCTGGTTCCCTTCCTCCTCGTACAGCTGAGCTTCCTGCAGGCGCTTCTCCATAACTCTTTGTCACCCAGTGCTCTTGCGCAACTGGGAAGTGAAATCACAGCTAACTAAAGCTCTGGGGTCGGGAGCAAAGTGACTGATTCTGGTAGCCAATTTAAGAAGGCAGGAAATTATCCTTGTCCCAGAAGCGCCCAACTCCAGGGGTGTGACCTTTGCTTATTTCTACTACAGCCCCACCTCTCCTCCCTGCAGTAATTTTCAATCTCCAGAAATGCAGGAAACTTGTTAGAAAGAGAACTGTGAAATAGTGAAGCCAAAGGATAAGTGATTTCTTAAAGAGGCGATTTCGGAGAGAAGAAACTGCCCCTAAAAGCAAAGGGCTGACCAAGGGATTGGGGCAGGCGTGTTAACGCCTGCAGAGTTAGCTTCCTCCTGATTTGTTAATTTCTAACCATAGCTCCAACTGTGCAGGGCTTGGTTCTCTTCTACAGTTTTTACTCTGTATCCCTATATTAGTTTTATGTAGGCAGTTTCAATCGTACCTACTTTTAGGTATGATTCAACAATTGACTCTGGAGTAGAGGAGCCCAGATGTGTAGCCTTTGTCAACTTTCATGGCGTAAATACTCCTACCCTGGTCTATTTCAGGCTACCAGTGGTTTAACAGTTGGCTTGCGAGCCAGGCTCAGTGGCTCAGCTGTAATCCCGCGCTTCAGGAGGCTGAGGTGAGTGGATTGCCTGAGCCCGCGGGTTCGAGACCCGCCTGGGCAGCGAGACCTCATATCTACAATAAATCAAAAATCAGCCGAGCATGGTAGCAAGCACCAGCTACTTGGAAGGCTGAGCGGAAGGATCGCTGGAGCCCAGCAGGTTGAGGCTGCGGTGACCAGGAGTGGCCACTGCACTCCAGTCTGGGCAACAGACAGACTGAGACTCCAACTAAAACAAACAAACAAACAAAAGTGACATCAGCACCTGCTTCCCTGTCTGGTTTGCCAGACTTCATGGCATATGTACGGCTTTGCTTACAAATTGTTCCTTCCCAGGTCCACCCTGCCATGGGACCCAAATAAGGCCCCTGTCCCAAGGTTCCAGATGAACGTGAATTTTGAGGGGACACTAACCCAGTACAAATGGTTACACATATAGTTAGACATATAGATAGATAAAAATAGACATCTGATGCAAGGTGTTATGAAGAGAATTGTGTCCCCCCCCCTAGAATTCATATGTTGCAGTCCCAATCCTAGTGTCTCAGAATGTGGCTATATTTGGAGATAGGGTTTTTAAAGAAGTTATTGAGTTAAAATGAGGTCACTAGGGTGACCCTAATTCAGTATAACCGATATCGTTCTAAGAAGATGAAATTTGGATACACACACACAAAGAGGGAGAACATTATGTGAATATAAAGATAATCACCTACAAGCCAAGGAGAAAAGCCTCAGAAGAAACCAAACCTGCTGGCACCTTGATCTCAGACTTCTAGCCTCCCAACCTGTAAGAAAATAAATGACACTTGTTTAAGCCAGATGGCAGCTTCCCTCATTCCTTCCCAAACTTCCTTCCCACCAGCACCTTCCCCCACAGACACATCTGTACCTCTCTGTGGGCTGCCAGCCTCTCCCACCCGCTCAGTGCCACGTGGGCTCTCCATCCAGGCCACTCAGCTTCTTTGCTTCCTGTTTCACCAGCACCTGGGCTTGGCAGCCTGTAGCTGAGGGGACATCATATGAGGCTGTAGTGCCACTAATACCCAACCCATGAGACCCAGCAGGAGATGAGCTGATTGATGGTCACAAAGTCTGTCCTGATTGGCTCCACTGAGTCTCAAGAGGACACCCATGTTATGTACAAATTGCGTCCACCTGTGCTGCACTTTATATTCACACTCAAAGAACTGACCTTGTTGGCTTCCCTTCTGGGGCACAGGTATGGTGGGCATGAGCATCCCCATTTGACAGATGAGTCACCTAAAGCCACAGTCAATTGGTGGCCGAACTGAGAATCAAACCTGGGACTCCGGATCACACCCTCTATCCCTCCTGCTTCCTCCCCTTCTGCCTCTTCTCTAGCTTAAACTCAGCCTCTCCATTCCTGGTGTTTGGGTGGGCTCTCAGCCCACTTAACTGTTCTCAGCAGGCACAGTCCTTGCCTCAGGGTGCCAAGGTTTCCCAGAGATCTGCTCTCCTGGCCCCTTCATCCTCTACCCTGCAATCCCAGCTTGCATCTGATGCTGCTGGAGGGAACTCTGCCCCTGAGACAAGCACAAGATGCCTTCAGGGTAGAGAGTATGAGGCAGGGGCCCTTCTGAAAACGCAGGAGTGAAAAAAGGGAAAATAAGCTTCCTGCTTCTTTGTGCTACTCTTTTAGTAGGCTTTTCACTTTGGCAGACGACGTGTTCAAACTTTTGGAGGAATCCAATCAGGATAGTGATTTTGTAAGCCAACTGGCAAATAGGACATGCAAATGAATTATGTAAAACCAATCAGTGTGTAACAGTTCATGTTAACTGCAGCCTTCAGCTACAAAATATTCAATCAAATGAATAATGCCAAACTATAACCTTATAAGAGAGACAAAGAGGTTACAATGTAAAGAAATAGTATATAAGGCAAAGCCCCGCTGTGCTCAGGGCTCAGCCTTTTGATGTGAACCCACAGACCTTGCCGGCACAAATAAAAGCTGCTTCCTGGAAAGATGCCTTGGGGTCCCATCTCTCTTTCCTGCTACAAGTAAGAGTGCTTTCCTCATCACCTACCACTGCACACAGGCCCTGATTCTAATACTCCTACAACCATTTTTTATTTCCTCATACTCTGAAACATGGGCCAGGAAGCTGGGGCAGAGACTGCTCCTACTTATCCATTACCAGCTTCCCATTCTTCCTCAAAGAACCCTGGCAATGTGCCCAGCTGAAAATTATACTTCCTAGACAACCTTGCAATTAAGTGGGGTCAGGTGGTTCCATTCTGGACAATGATGTGTCTGTCAATGGGACTGAGAAAGGTGCTTTAAAAGAGCCAGTCTTTCCCCTGAAGAACTGTGCCTTTCCCACGGTCTAGAATGTGGGTGTAGGTGGAGTTCCAGCAGCTAGCCCTGTTGACAGTGAGGCAACCTTGAAACTGGAAGTCACATGCTAAAGATATAGAAGATACAGAAAGACGGAAGGAGTCTGTGTTCCGAATGCCTGTGGGGTGGCTGGACCAGTCCTCCACTGCCTATGACGGAATTTCTTCTATGTGAACAAAACAAAACAAACATATGTGTCCAAGCCACTGTAACTTCTTCCTTTCTGTTAAAAGCAGCTGAATCTAATCCTCCTGATACAGATGCAAACAGCTTATCCCAGGGGAAGCAGCAAAGGCTACTGACCAGGTAAGAGGCAATTAGGGAAAAAGCAAAGTGCAGCAAAGGGATAATATTGGGAGTGGGGAACACAGTATAACAGATAATATCAAGCATTTGCAAGGAAGTGGAGAAACTGGTAGTTGCTCTCCATTCCTTGTGGAAGTATAACTTGGTCTAGTCTTTTTGGAGGACAATTTGGGAGTATTTATAATATAAATGCACACATCCTCCAACCCAAAAATTACATTTCTGTTCTTTATGTTTTTTTTTGAGTTGGAGTCTCACTCTGTCACCCAGACTGGAGTGCAGTGGCCGCTTCCGGCCACTGCAGCCTCAACCTGCCGGGCTCCGGCGATCCTTCCACCTCAGCCTTCCGAGTAGCCGGAATTTCAGGCATGCGCTACCACACCTGGCTGATTTTTAGATTTATTGTAGAGATGAGGTCTCGCCGCCCAGGTGGGTCTCGAACCTGCGGGCTCAGGCAATCCACTCACCTCAGCCTCCCAAAGGCGCGGGGTTACAGGCTGAGCCACCGAGCCCGGCTTCTGTTCTTTATTTTATTTTATTTATTTTTTGTTGTTGTTGTTGAAATTAATATTTATTTGACCCGATTCAAGAAAATAAGATACCTCCACCCCTATCCTGTGTCCCATGAATACAAGCCACACTAAATCTTTCCCTCTCTAGCCATACAACAGTGTTATTTCAGGAAAATGAAACAAGACAGAGGAAACAAAATTATCTATTACTTAGCACATTTCGCTTATGTCAAGTTGAGAGGACCGTAATAGAGTATACCATAGACTTAGATTAGGAGCATGCTATAACCCAATAACTATGTAATCGGCTTGTGGACAATAGCACAGCCAATTTTAGTTTTCTGTCTTAAAACATATAACTGTTTAAAGTTCCAGTTACGGGAAAAACTGCAAAGCTCCAGTTATTCTTCCCTTGTCTCACTTTCCCCTTAGCAACAACCAATCAAGTGCCAGGGAGAAATCACCTAAGTTTCCAGATGTCTCTGCAACTTCCCTAGCTAGTGGGCCAAGGTCAGCCCGAGTCAGGCTAGCCAATCCTCCATGATTAAGCTGACCACCAGAGGAACTACCCAATTAAATGGTAACAAAACTGGAAAGCCCCCCCAAACTCCTCCTCCCTTTGTGTAAAAGCATAAAAGCCATCTGCTTAAGGAAATCAGGGCCTCGGTTGTCGACAGAGATCCAGGCTCGAGCTTGTAAATAAAGACCCTCTTGAACTTTCATCGGAATTGGCTCTTGGTGGTCTCTTGGATTGAACTTTCGGCCACTACAAAGTCTGGGCTTAAGACCCTTTGGTCCTGTAAAATTTTTTTATTCTCTATCAGCAGGGTTGTCTTTCTTTTTAATCCACATACTTCATGTCTTTAGCGTGTCATCCTTTGTTGCCCTGCAGTAATCTCTTTATGGAACTCTTGAAGAACATCCAGCTGGCCAGTTCTGATGTGGATGTGTGACCGGATCTTGGTGATGGCTCTTACAGCCTCCTCTGGATTCCAGTTGTGCACCTGCATCAGATACGCTGCCACCATAGTGGCACTTCTGGAACGGCCGGCCTTACAATGCACGTAGACGCACTGGCCCAGTGACTGGTACTTGAGAGCGAACTGGACTCCTTTCTGGAGGTTGGACAAGGTGGGGATCCCAGTCAAGTCGACTGTGCTGAGCCGCAGCTGCTCGACTCCTGGTCTCTTCCACTCCTGCGAGGAGTTGCACAGGAACCGGGTCTCGTACTCCTCGTTCATGGAGATCACCCCGCGCACGTTCTCGTCCTCCACCAGCCGGCGCGCCATGCTCCGCAGCGGCCGCGCGCCCAGCAGCACGGTGGGGTCCATGCGATGGGACCAGTCGCGGCGCGCCGGGCCGGCACCTTAGCGCAGAACAGCGTG